AATTGCCAATTACAAGTAAAATCCAATCCCGTTTTGGAAATACGTAATTTTTCAGACAATGAAATGAATGTTTTGTCTGTCTGTTGGGAAATAATAATCAATAAATAAATACATAAAAGGTGAAAAACGAGAAGTTTTTTACAAATTATTTTCCAAGCTATAGTCGAAATTAGAAAATAGTATTTTCCATACTGTTAGCACTTATGCACACATACCACTTACCAGACCATTAAAATATAACGCACATTTACATCTACAGAATTTTCCCAGTACGCATTCGGAAACAATTACCTGAAATAAATAAGGACGAACGAAGTTTCTCGACATTTTTATATCAAGACTTGAGATCTGAAGTACCCACCTACGAAGAGCACCCTTAAAATAATATTCCAGAAAGGCGAAAAGGTGTTAATTTTAAAGTACTTAAATTATCGACTAGTTAAAAGCTATTTTGTAATACAGGCACATTACAAAGGTCGGTTAACAGGAATATTAAATTACGTAACGAATACGTGTCTGCTACTGGTACACATACTAAAAGGGAAATCAAATTTGGTTTAACTGAAAAGTATGTGTGTGTGTGTGTGTGTTATAATACAAACGGGAGTCCAAAATAAATGTGCAAAACGTAATTACATTTCAGCTCTTGATTAAATAAAGTAGTATTTCATGAAATTGCAATTAATATTGAATTTCTAGTTTGTAAACGCAAGTGCACCCTTAAATTCTTTCCGTTGCAGAATTATTTAGTATTTTAACCACATTTGCACGGTAATTGTTTGAAATTGCCGAGAAATATGTAACATACCGAACTTAGGCGTGTGTATGTACATGCAATGAATGCTTCTTAATCAGGCATAAGTATACATATAATATTCAATTAATTGATTGGTAACTTGACATATGGAAATGTTCGATTGACCTGATCACGGCTAACAGTTCTCTTTGAGTCACACAGTAATTACGTTCCTTTTTAGAGAAGACTTTACTGAAATATCCGATGACTCTCTAGTGCCCGTCCTGCATTTGGGATAGTACACCATCCATTCCAACATTTGCTAGCGTCCGTATCTAACACGAAGTTCCCTTCTCTTCTAGGATAACTGAGCACCGGAGCCGTAACCGACGCTTGTTTGAGATGTTCCTCTGTTAACTGGGCGAATGGCTATATCGGCAAATCCACGAGCATATCGCCGGTCGTACGTTGTTTAACTCCAAAATTCGTTTTCATTGTACCCCTGTTTTTTTTCACTACCAAAGTCACGCGAGCAACGGAAACATTTTGAATAGAACTCAATGTAACTATCTACCTCAACGTACCGTCAGTTTTCATTGTATCCTTGTTGTCTTCAGACATATGATGACATATGATTATTTGACGATTTTGTCTTAAAGATATATGATGATGATGATATGAATGATTCGTGACATCACAGAATACGGACTGTAACATGGATTATTCTGTCGGATACCTTTTCTTCTACCAATTCACAAAACACCTGCTGAAATCTAATTTAAATTTAGAATCTTCGTATTTCTTTTTCTATACATGCCCGGCATCCGCTATAATAAAAGTCTCAATGTTGACTTAAAATTGACTCAGATGGACAATTTAGTAGTCTTGACCGCTTTTCCATTATTCCAAGGGATTAATTATTAAAATTTTGATTAAAACCGAACATGATTCCGGTACCAACAGAAAAAATTATTATGAAAACTTTAATCTGGGTCGCACTTTGGGTTGGATTAAACACAGCTGTATGATTGACAAAGACAAAAATTTATTCGTTAGGAGAAAAACACATAAGCTGAAAGACAGATATGCTTTCAGAGCCAGATTTTATACCATTACATGCATACGCATGCAAGCAATCGATAGACAATTAATTCAAGAAATATTAATCGCTAAATATTAATTCTTAATAATCCAATAATCTGTTGTTAACTATGATTTTGTGGCGGACAAAGAACAAACTCAAAATTTCTCTAAATACATTTGATCTTTATAACACGAACAGGCTTTATTGAAATTCAATGACTAAATCTTTCTGTTTTTCGGACACTTAACATTATGTAAATAACATTATGTAAATTAACCAATTCAAAAAGCGATAAATGTGAACAAACAAATCGCATCTATAAAAATTCACTGTAATTCAAATTCAAAACAAAACGATCGCTCTTCGTGGGACGTATTTTTTAACTACCACAGAAGTGTAATGCTAACTATTCTGTAAAGGTTCGAAACGTCTATTGCATTACCGTAAAAGGAGAAATTTCCATCACGGAAAATCGTACCCTCTACTTTTATAAATGTCGAAAAAAAGTTGGAAGGCCGGATGCCCAGACGCGGGGGCTTTTATAATTAATTTTTTTTATTTGTCATATACGCTATAGTATTAAAAAAGCGACTTTCTACGCGATCTCAGCGCTAAGATCTCACGGAATTCAGTATTCAGTATTATAGACCGTATTTTTCATTGGAAATCCGCTAAAAATAGAAGCAGCATAATTTCTAATGGTATACTTGTCTCTTAAGTTAATCGAAAGGACGTTGTCGCAGATAAACGGGAGCAATATATTTTCTCGAAATCGTCATTTCTTCATTTTCATGCCTACTTTATGTTAGTTTCTATGACAGCAGCTCCTGAAATTTTATTTTAAAAAAGGCGATTTCGGGAAAAATGGTTTTATACTCGTTAGTAAAATAACCCGACTTGACTCGGAAATTAAATTACTCACCCCAAACGGGCTTCGTACTCCAATATGTCCTCCCAGTAATGTATCATTTTCCTGACTTTTATGTAAGTAATTGTATTACAGTTTGGCCTGTAGAATTAAAAAGATCACGTAAAAATTTTATTATCACCAAAAAAATAGTTCTAAAAAAAGTCAAGAAAATCCTTCTGAGAACGACATCTCTAATTGATTTTCCAAAAAAGGTACTTGCCCCAGATTGAAAAAATAGAGCCATTAAACTGAATTTGAAAAAAATAGAGCAACACAAGTTGTGGGAGATCGACTGGAAAGACATTTTCGGACAGATTCTGACCTGCAGAGTCTAAAAAATCGCTATGGTACAGATACGAACACCACAAAGAGTATCACCTTACATCCAAAACCTAGCGAAAAAAGTTTTTGCAAGTCTAGCACAGTAAAAGATAGTTTCTGCAAGATTTAGGCCTGCAGAATCCGGAAAATTACAACAAAGAAGAACATTGCATTTTCGCTAAATTCGGGCAAAAAATGGTTATTAGGTAGTCCGATAAAAGGCATTTTTGGGGAGACCCTAAACTTATAATATTTAAAAAAATCACAATTAGTTAAGTAAAAACATTTTCTGACAGATATTATCTTGTAGAACTCTAGTCTCTCTTCTATATCTCGATATCTTTGAAATTGTAAATCAAAATGTCATTTTATTTACATACGATTTTTCAAGACGTTCAGTTTGACGTGTCACACGGAATATGGTTCCATTTAAAATTTTAAAGTTGGGTGTGGTAGGAGGTAAAATGAGAAGACAAATGTGTAGTGTGGAACCAAGTAAAAAAATCTCTAATAGTAAATTCTGTACTTGCTTTGGTTGTTTATGACAAATGTCAGTTTTCGGTTTGACGGGAAGAAACTTTAATTTTAAAATTTGTAATGGAACACCCTGTATTTCAATATTTAGTATGGAATTCTATATTATTTCCAAGGCAAACCGAGATATTATGGAACGAGACTTTTTGTGAAATCTAATGGGCTCGAAAGATATTTACTTGGATGGTACGCAACTTTGTAGAGTTTTTAGCGTAACTGCTTGGTCCCTCTTAACGTTTATTTAACGAATCTTCTGAAAAATCCATAGTTCCTTTGTATATACTTCCTATCCCTTGTTGTCGACCTTTCTATATAATGCGGAAAATGGGAAATTTTCTTTTGGCTAAACTTTTGACCGGAAAATCTTCCGTTTCGGATAGTTTTCACCGTTTTTAATTGTGAGATTTTTTGAACACTCGCGTGCAAATTGTTGTCTCAAAACGACGCCCGAAAAAAAAGAACTTCCCTATGTTAAAATCGTAACGAATTTTCTGCGGCAACTTAAGCTGGGTTCTTCTTGGAACTTTTAGACCAATTGCCCTCAAAAGCCCTTCCTTTTCTTACTTATGTAATGACTACCTCGTGGCTTAAATACCGCCTTACGAATGTAATAAAAGCTAGGTTGATAAATCATTTTCTCACATTTTTCCAATATGCCAAATTTGCAGTTTCCAAGCTGTTGCATGCCATCACGCAAATTTGCAATATTTCAATGATAAGCTTTTTTAAAAACTTCTGTGACATACGTCACTATGAGATCTGCTACACCTGACACGCTACCAAAAATTCACATTTTTCTCAGATGTAGCAAACTTACCCTATGAACGGTTTTCTAAAAGGGAAAATGTATATGGTCATTATAGTTCCATATAGTGAATATCTAATTTTTGATTATGGCGAGGGGGTGCAAAATCATTTTCGCGAAAGGGCGCAGCGGCCCACAGCCACTCTATTGGTTAATTTCCACGATGCTAAGGCGATTGGTCTTTAGACCATATTAAGGCGCCGTACGGCATATATTTTGGTGTATATGACTTAATTGCGATCACATTAGCGCCGTGAACAACGGCACAGAAAACCTGCGCTTTTAAATTCGGAATCCAATTAGGGATAAGGAGATGAGGAAGGAGCAGGAATGGCAACGACGCTTTCGTTCAGTATTTGCGGATTTATCTGTCCATCTAATATACAAGGCAAATTTACAGTTGTCAACTCGATTTGGAACAAGCCCTAAAGTTGTTTCCAATTAAGAAAGTTTGGATAACGTTAAAACAACCTCATTATACAGTTTAAACTTTACCGACGACGACGACGGGGACGTTTTCCTCGACGCGAGGTTTTATCAATAACAATTAGTACCCACTTTTCATTCGATACGCTTTCGCTTATTAACAAATCTTTTCTTGTCGTTGCAGGTTTCGGGGATTAGCAGTGAAATATTTAAGCAGATAGAAACGGTAGAGAACGACCACGATGCGTCTACTGCAGCGGCGTTGGAGGTAAGATAGGTAAAATATTTGCTAATGAAATTCCGTGCGCAATTAGGATGGCCTGTGTACATACAGATGATGGTTGTCGTAAACCCTTTATTGTACAACGGGGGGTATAAATTTACAGTGTATACCTACCGGTGCCCTTATTATCCTTATTTCGGACGAAATTTATTATTAGTTATTTCGCGAGATTTAATTTTTACGGCGCCAATGAGAAATTGCCTACGGGGACTTTCTTAATTGCTTTCGTTTTTAATCGAATGTTAAAATCGTGTAAAGCAAACTCCGCGGGGAAATTAATTTATTGAAAGAAGCTGTATCGTTCCGAACGCACATCCCTTTTCTGCTGTGAAATCGTTCCACTGCAATTATCGTTCACTTTGTCTTTCGAGTAGTTCTACTGCGGACTGTCTTGGATAATTTTGGAGGAAGACCAATCTTCTACGGCGCCAACTTTTTTCCTAAACGGTTTTAAATAATACCTATCCTGTAAGGTCGCAGATTTAATTCTTTGGACCGATGAGAAGGATATTTCAATCAGTGCAAAAAATCTTCCTCCTTGTTTGCAAAATAGTAACTATTGTATTACACGAAACACCAACTATGTACCTAAATGTAATTTTCTCTCTATATGGATTTGGATGTGGTTTTCTATAAGAACAAGATGTTATAGTAGGTACCATCGGATTCATGAAAATGTGCCTTTTAATTAGGCGAGAAAATTTGCTAAAATTCACTTATTTTAAGATTTTATGGTATTATGTTTTGTGAAGAATTTGTGAGGACTTAATTATGTAAGTTTGGGAGTTACCGTCATACATACCTAAAGTCAATATTTTACCTTTCCATTCTTCGGTTTTGCTGGATACCGAATAAGGACAAATTCAACACGTTTTGCCTTTCCTAATTTCATCCTCGTCGAAGATTAATAGTTTACGGAAAATTTATAGATCTAGGTAAAGGTTCAGTTCAGTCAATAAACGGCCGTAGGGACCTTGAGTTGAGATATTAAAGGTTTTATATGAAAAGTTACAAAACGTAAAAACTGGAATTATCAGTGTTGACGGCCATAGCAGTTCTAGTGCTTCCAGTTCATCTGATAACCTTATTCCTTAAGATAGTTAGGGGGTAACAATTTTCCTGAATCCTGACGTAAGGCAAACGAGTTATATTGGGAAATGCAAAAAAATAAATAGTCTGTCCTAAAACCTCTGAAAATACTTTGGTAGTACACCAATGGATTTTGAGCAAGTAATTGCACAGTTATTCTTTTAGTACCACTTTCGCAGTAAAATGTTCAAATGCTACACTTTGATGCAATATATAAATTTTACACATTTTGACGACTATATGAGATGGCGACGCACCCAATTTCGTTGGCAAAACGTCCAAACAACGTTCAGTAAGTGATGCATTTTTTTGTGTGCATATGTATTTCGAAAAAAATATGTTGACAAGTTGTTCAATAGGTAGAGTCTTCCAACGACAGTGAAACATCTGCTGATTTTACTATTATAAAAGTTAGGAAGTCAGTTGATTAGCAAATATGGAGCATGTTTTCTCAGTGTTACAAAAATGAAATTTGGAAAAATAGTTGAGGATCGGATTCTCAATAAATTCAAGCATCACATCTTTTGAGCGCATTTTTGCAAATTTATTTGTAAAAAGGTAGATTTTAATCTCGCTTTGGCCGGCTGGCTGGCTGACATCCAATGCAGGCCCGTAGAAGATACAACAACTTCTTCGTAAACTTTAATTATTTAAGGGTGTAATCCAGTAGTACAACATTTATGCGAAAATAGAGCGATTTACATTTCGTCTCAATTCTATAAAACATGAGATGAAAGACGGGGCTAATTTTTTCGTGTAAATTATACATTTAAAAAGTATGCTACAGAACAATATTTTCATATTTAAGAAAAAACAATTTTTTAGAGCACTGCCAATAACAAGTGAACTTTTATAGGTAAAATGGCGTCAACACAAATTATTTTAAAAATCTCTCTGTAGCATACTCAGAAAAAACATTAGCAAACCATAGAGCCATCAACCTACCCTTCACATAAATTACAAAAAATTTTAGACGAAATATTCATTGGAAATTTTTTACGAAAACTTGCAGCGTTTAGTGAAGTCATTCACCATTTATAAATGTACAGTAGGCAACACATCATACAGCAGGCCTAACTTCATTAGCGACATTGTTGCGTTTATCGGGACTAATTTACAAAGAAACCGGATTCATTAGAACGTATTATAATTCCATAATATACTGGGTAATAGAATTCACACGGAAAATGTGATTTATTTTTGGGTGAATTAAAAGTTTGCGTCTTTTCTGGCGTTTTTTGTAACACCCCTAAAATTTTAGTGTGGTACAAATTTGAGATTATTTCCCTGTAGCATCCTTCGGAAAGAGTTATAATTTGCGTAAAAAGCGTTAGTTCTCATTTATTTTGTGTTGTTCCCGAATTAGACGTAGCATCCTTCGGAAAGAGATATAATTTGCGTAAGTTCTCATTTATTTTGTGTTGTTCCCGAATTAGACGATTTTTTGTAACACATCTGAATATTAGTAAAAAAATGTACATTTTTTTAAAGATATCTAATTTATAGGTACTTATTCGCTTACATGCGTTATTTTCCAGATAAGGTCAATACAATTCATGGAGTACTGGGTTAAAAAAAATAGATACGTCTTATTAAAAACTGGGAAAAGTGAATTTATTGAGGATTAGCCGTTGTGACAATCATTTGCGTTTTCTAATTGATGTTTAATTATATATGCATATTCGTCACAATGACTAATGACCTGGGTAAATTAGCGCAATTACTTGTTTACTTTATACAATGGTTGGGCAGGTAAATTCTTCAATCTTTGTTTATTCGTTACCATTTCATTACAAGTAAATATTATGCAACCCATCATACGTCAAATAGAATTAAAATTTAAGTGGAATACACCCTTAATTCGACTTGAACATTCACTATAAACGGCGTAACAAAAATCCCTTAGAGCGCTCAAATAATTTTCCATTTTTGAATCGCTTCGAAAAGCTTTTCAGCTTTCGAGACCGTTTAAGGGAAGATCCGTTTCAAATTTCAATCAAATCGATCGGGTAGTTCCGGCTTTGTTTACAAGAATCATGCCGCACGCACATACACGCACACATACGTACATACAGACATTTCATCTTTAACGAAATTTCTCTCAGTACACATTTAAATTCCTGATTCCAAGCAGGCAATAGTCCAGATCAAAAGGTCACTTACCAAATTTTGAAAGCACTTGAAATTAACTTTGGGCACGGATCTACAAAATAATCGTAATTGAGCATGACACTTATCTCTGAATCGTTAAAGGGATAAAGTAAATATACGACTTGCATGATTTTACATAAAAGTTTTCGAGTTACAAAATTCTAATAAAATCGGGGCGCATAAAAAACACTGAACTATACTTAAACTGGAACGCGCACTGGCGGTCTCTGCCGACATTTCTACCTCCAACTTTGCAAAAGGCCTCATGTATACGCGAACTCTTCTAAGAACTCGAAAATTTCTTAACCAATTAACGACCCTTGGTAACTCGATAAACCAATCAACACCTTGCGAAAGGACGCTTTTGATGACGTACGCAAATTTACACGGAAATTAACTCATCTAAAATACAACATTTTTATGAAAACAGTTGTTTTTCTGATTAAAAAGCCACTTTATCTCTAGACAATTACATTAATTTTTTATAAAATAAAAGAAAACCCACTAAATCAGATCGGGGCGGACACAAATGCATTAACAAAACAAATTGTTAACAGTAACTGACGAAAATTTTCTTACCTTAATTCTAAGAAATCTAATTCTAAAAAATCGTTTTGTGTTTATTCGTAAATAATCCCACGAAAAATATTAACATGAGTTGTAATGAAAATTTAAATTAAAAATTATAGTACCCGCATTCAATTCAAATTCCGAGATCTAAACGTCAACGTCCCAAACCAACCTTCTTTATTGGATGGAAAGCTTCTATGATTGCTGCCCATGCTACAATAATCTGTGAAAAAAGTGATGTTGTACCACTCTCGTTGATTAAAGCGCCACCATCTAACTGTGATACAATCTACACTGTGATGAAAATGGCCGTGGAACAGTGTAGATCAGTAAACCAGGAATCTTGTATTATAACCTTTGATCGGCCGCTCTATATATAAAAGCTTGCGAGATGGTAGCTTCTGCCACATGTTGATGCCTTTTCTAGCCAGTATTGTGGAAATTATGGCTGGAAGTGGACTGAGGGAGTTGTTATGCACAGTCTACGCACAAGGATATTTCGCCACTAGAAGAACTATCTCTTTTTGGAGTGGGGTGTAGTAAGACATGATGATCGAGCAAACACTGATGAGAAGCCTCAAGGGCGTTGGTGGTCCAAAACAATGAGATTGACGCCTTGAGGGGTGACAGGGACGCGGACGGCCTGGTAGTCACAATAGCCATACAGAAGGCAACTGAAAGCGACGAGGTTGTTGTGGTGGGGAAAGACGCCCGACAAACTCAAAGTATCACCCAAATTGTTTTCCTCAAATCAACCTCAGCCCTCATTCTTTAGGGAAACCGTTTTATTTTTACATACTTTTTCAGGATGTGACACTACTTCAGCGACATACAACTGTGCAAAAATTAAAATAACTAAAGCACTTTCAAACGTCATCAGCTTTTACAAATTCCACCCCTGTTTTACAACCCAAAAACCACACTATAGCGGTTCTTTCTGAAGGTGCCGAGAAATTGTTTCTGGAATTGTACCGAGCCACCCCCAGCATGACGTCAATATATGCCTTCCGACATGTCTGGTTCCAGCGCGCAGCCAGGAACATCAAACGAGACGTCGCTTCTTTCCCGCCAACTAAAGGTGCAGTGTTGTAGCATACTAAGAGGGTTTACCACCACATCCACATCCAAAGAAATGGGGGTGGAAAGAAGTGTCGTCAGAGCTGGAACCGGTCCGCAACGTTTTTTTGTAGGAAATTTACGAAAAAGTAGATAGTTTTCGAGATATTGAGGAAAATCCGAAAAAAGGGACCTAATATTCAAAATGGCGGTTTTGGGATATGTTCAAGAGAAAGGAACAAGGAATATTTTGGCCAAATTTCAACACTGTAAGATTTTTTTTTAAATTTTTATTTAATCTAGATTGTCTGGGATAAAAAGCCTCCATGATCACACGGAAAGCAACTTGTATGGGATATTACATGACGCGTGGGTACCCTATGCTCATCCTATCTCTCTCAAACTTCGAAAACTCTCGGAAGAGTTGCTAACAAAGCAGAAAAAGCCAAACTACAGAAATATTCTGAACTGCCCAATAATTACCAAATTATTCCTATAGGTCATAGGATTCGAAACAATTGGAGGCTGGGAAAATCAATGCAAAAACCTAATCAAATTACGAGGAAAAAAAAATTCAAAAAAACTCTGGAGGACCAAAAATTATGGAATATCTAAAACAAAGTATTATAGCCATCCAGTCATCAAAGAGACCTGAAACTTGGTCCCAATTGTAATTTATGGAATTTCTGGGTTCTGTCCCAAAGGATTATGCATTGTGGACATGACCTTTTCAGATGAATTGACAATATTTCCCCAGCACAAAAAAATTTGACTTACTGACCACGGATTTATCAGGATCTAGAAGTAGGTATGCGATTTTATTAGTTGCCATAGCAAAGAAAATGGGTCAATTTTTGTGACACGAATCCCAATGCCATATTCCCTAGTTTGTGTGACGGCCACAATAATTAGCACTAACAAGATTTCCTACTTCTGTTAACCGAACCTGCTTTAGCGATTTTCTGGATTTTTAATTCTTAATTTATTGCTGAAAGAACTAAAGTCATAGGATCATCTTATTCTTATTTCGCGATATGATCACCATCTTCGATTAAGTGACTAAGATTGTTACTGTAATTTCCAGGGTCCAGATGGATTAAATTATGAATTGTAACTCCGGAGCATAATCAGGAAACATTCGGTCAGATGCAGATTCAGATTCAAAAGTTTTTTTTTTGGTCAAAATGTTTCATTGGAAAACGTATTAAAAACAGGGCAGTTTAGAAACTTAAATAAAAATTGTAAGTAAGTTATCTTAAAACTTCGCACTTACTTTTGCCATTTTACCTTCTGCAATTTAATTTTAGGTGTTTTCCTTAGACAAGCTCGGAGTTTAAAATAACAATCCATTTGGAGTTGTAGTTTCTCACCTGACCTGTCACTCAATTAATACCTACCAGACTTATCCTCACCTTTGTCACCACGCCGTCTTACCCCAAGACAAGTTGGCTGTTCTCCCACATTACGAACTTTCCTTTTTCTTGGTTCCGCCAGCTCCGCTGCAAACTGCCGTTTTGTCTGTTACCAGCTGACAACGGGAATTAATTTCTCGCAAAGCCCTTGTTATTAATCTAAATTCCTTCAATATTGCATTATGAACAGTTCTTGGCATGGATTCATTATTAAATTTTACTTCTAAACTCGGGAGAAATTTGTACGTGTAGGTTCGCAAGATATCAAATTCAATTTATGCTCATAAAAGTGGGCACATAACATCAATTTTTTCGTCGTAAAACTTCGCGAAGTAAAATATGTAAAACGTCTTCCAACAGCCATGCGCTTTTCGGGAATGAAAATAAAAAAAAGGGAAATTGGACGGGAAAAATGTTCGGAAGACGGAGATATTCAGAAAGTAATGAATGAAATTAACATAATGAACCCTTTAAGGATAAGAATAATGGAATATAATGAGTGTATTTAAGAGAGATTCTTCACTTTTTCAAGACAATTAAGCTATTATTAGGGGGGAATTAAATACAACTACAATTAATTACAGGCGCTTTTCACAAAGTCTTCAACAAAGTTGTAAATTTTCCTGCTTGAAAGGAGCACAGTGTAGCGTATGATTCAACGATATTTTATATAACAATGTGAAAGTTGAGTCCTTAACTTTTTAATTGCGATTGTTGTGTTACAGGCGGTGGAAAGGCGTGGTGAAATGATAGTTAGAATTTTGGATTCTCGTCATCTTGGTAGAACTGCAGGGGATACGGCGAAGCGATTTACGTCGATGCAAGATGCGAAACACACTGTACAGTTTGTAGAAATAGTAAAAAGGCCGGGACAAACGCTCGGACTTTATATCAGGGAAGGAAATGGGATTGATAGAAACGATGGGGTTTTTATATCAAGAATAGCACTAGAGTCTGCAGTGTATAACAGTGGATGCTTGAAGGTTAGTTCAGAAGTTTTTAGCATTATGTTAAGAGTATTATAAAACTTCTCAGGGCTCGAGAAGTTTTACACTTTTACAACTTTTTAGTTTTATTCAATCGATTATAAGTCGAGTATCTTCGCTTTAGATACTTCCAAGGCACTTAATTGTCATAAAAGCAACGCGGTTTACCTTTCGATAAAACAGAACCGAAAACCGTCAACATTTCTGGAAGGTCAAGTACTGACAGGGTTCATTTCCTAGGATCTGATCAATATTGAACAACTGGGAAATACAACTGTCCGTTATATGTGTAAGCGAAATTTGAGTTTAACTCAGTTTAATTTCGGTTTTCTGGTGCAAAATTTCAACCCGAGCGAAATTGGAGGCAAATTGAAAAATCTCGTTTCCCCTCGACATTTTCGTTGTATGAACTTATATTGCTTTTATAACTTTCGAAAACTTCTTTAAGCCAATTTATTTAAGAGCTTTCTACTTTATGTGTAATAAAGCACAGTTATGAAAGTAAAATATGATACATGAAATTTGTAATAATGACCTATGGGTATGGGCATGCATTTGAATAACGTATTCAAATGAAATCTCCGATTTAAACCATACTTCGAATCTAGTGGTTAGTTTGTATTAGTATAGTTTCACGAAGTTAGTATGCACAAAATTCATCTAACTTATAATAGAGCTTCTTTAGCAAATGGAATTTTCGAAACAGGGTAATTAACCTTAGACCTTTCACAAGTACCTACCTAGTGGATATTGTCCAATAATGAAAAATGTTTAGATTGGAATTTTAAAAAAAACGGCTTCGTGTAAGATGGATAATCGTATTCACGTATTCTTGAGCAATTTCTGTGTAAATGAAACACTGCAATCTTTATTAGACGCTAAAATACTTTTTACAATATAAATTTATAAACAAAACTAAAATCAGATTTTTCCTTCTCTTTTCTTTAGTATCCCCCTCATCCACTTCTTACCCCTCCCCCCTCACTCTTGCTTCTCCCAGTGCTTAACACCTCCTTGCAATTCCATAACGTGTATTGTATGTTCTCTTCTTCCCCTACACATGTTCTACAATTTCTTTCTTCTTCTTGACTGCATTTCTATTTCCGTTTCTCTTCATTTCCATTCCGCCTATAATTATTTTGGTAATCACTTCTTCACCCTCTGTTGTTGTAGGTTCCTTTTTGTTAGCTCACTTTCCATCTGTTCTCCGACTCTTTTCCTCTTCGTTCTCAGCCCGTCCGTATCCATTTGTTTTGTAATACTTTTTCTCCGTCTTTTCCACATGCAGTTTGCGTTCATCTTCGTTGTCAAGCATTATTTTACTAATTCGCTTTCTTTTCCACTCCTTTGCTTGAACCGCTTTGCGTTCCGACGCCGTCTTTATCTTCTCAATTTTTGTTTCTTCGTCTAATATATAATTTGGTCCCCTTCCTTTTAGCCCTAATATCGATTTTTGTGTTCCTTCCAGTTCATTCCATTCCTTCCACCCCCACATCTCCGCTCCGCACATGAGAACCCCTCTCTTCATTTTCCACACACCTGCCTCATCGCCACTTCTCCCTTTTTTTAGTTCTCTTATTTGCTATTTTGCATTTGTGACTCTAAATATTTAATTACTCTAAGCTCCTCTATTTGTTCTACATTTAACTCCATTCCTTCCCTTGCCCAAACCCTCTTTATTCTTCCCATCATTGCTTTCATTTGTTCTGCGTCTGTTTCCATTATCACTGCTGCACCAGGGACCAGTTTCTTTTCCCCACTACGATCCCTCCACCTTGTCCCTATCTTAATACTTTTTCCCTGTCTGAAATTAAATAAGGTTGGGCTAAGTGTTGGGCATTTTCCCATTTTTAATAATTTTTCCCTTTCCGCTCTGTCAAACGATGCCTTTAAATCCATGAATAACGCAAATGCGCCTTTTTCCCAATTCCTTTGGCACCAATATGTGTAGTACAGTCGATCGTTCCTCTCCTTTTTCGGAAGCCCATTTTTGTTTCCTCTTCTCTTCCATGTCCCTTTCTAATCTTTCCTTAAGTACCATTGCGTAGACTTTATACGCCGTCGTCATTATCGTGATTTCCCTATAATTTTCTGCATAGTCTTTGTAGTTTCACTTGAAAATCTAAAAAAACTATTACCTCTTTCTTCCATTCTTCGGACAACCCCTCGTTTGCATACCTTGTTTACTTGATTCCTTATCCGTTCCTGTGGCAAAAATCCAAGCGTCATTACCTATCTTGTCTCTCTCTCTCTCTGCCGCTTTCCCTTTCTTCAGTCTTTTGAGTTGCTGCTAAATCTCTCCTGTTGTTATCTCATCTCCTTGAACTTCCTCTCTTCCTACCTCTTCCACAGCCTCCTTTTTCTACTGCGTTGTTTGTAGTAATTTGATAAAATGTTGTCTCCATTCATCTAATTGTATTTTCCTCTTACTTGCTCTACTTTTCTTTTTGCCGCTGTTTATCACCTTTCAAAAATTTTTCTCTGTTCCCTGGCTCATCGTATTTTTTCTGGTTCTCCATTTTTTTTCTTTACATTTTTTGGGTGTACTTTTTTCTGTTCTCTCATCTCTTTTTCCTCTATTTCCTCTTTTATTTCTCCATCACTTCTCTATATCTATTTCTCTCTTGTGTACCCTCTCTGTCCCATCACTGCTTATTTTTTTCTCCTCTCCCCTTTAGTTATTTATTTCGACGTTATTGCTTTTTTTTAAATATCCTCCTTGATATTATTGCACCTCTCCTCTGTACTCCCTCATCATATTTCTTCTCCTTGTTCCTCTAGTCGTTCTGTATACCATCTCTTGTCCACAACTGCATCTCCCTTGGTCTTTGCGTCTTTTAGTTCTTGATCTTCTCATCTTCCCTTTCAATTCAATTCATAGGTCGATCTTTACCTCTTGATTTTCTATCTTGTGTTCTTTGTCCCATCTCTACCCATTTTCCTTTAATTCCTGTTCTGGCATTAAAATCTCCCCCAATTTTAGCCCCTCCTCCCTTCCATCTACCATATTTTCTATTTTATTTTTAAGTTCTTCATTCCTTCTCTGTTATATATCGTTATCACTCTACCTCTAATTCCACTCGTCTGACCTGTATGCCTTCCTCCTCTTTCGTTTCATCTCCCTATTCCCTTATCCATTTTTGTAACCCTGATAATACACCACATTTTGCTCGTCCTTTTATATTGTCCCCGTTCGCAAATCGGTTCTTCCATTAGGAATCCTGTCCTTTATTTTCTCCCAATTCCTTTCTTCTATCCATGACTCTACGACCCTCGCGACATCATATCTTCTTACAAATCCCCAGAATTGATCGTCTTTACCAGATACCACCGCTACATTTTAGAATATCATTTTCATGTCGCCCGTCTTCATTTTATCTCGTTTTGTTCTCTTTTCTTCTATTGTTCGTGTCTGACCTCCTCTCTCCCTCTCTCTATCTTCTCCTTTGCTAGTTTCTTCCTCTAAACCACGCCGTTTCATCTCCCGTTCTTTTCCCCTCTCTTCTCACTAATCTTTCTTTTTTGGTACTCTATTTCTCTCTTTAATTATGTTAATTATCCTCTTACAAACCCCCAGAATGGATCGTCTTTACCGCCAGAATATCATTTTCATGTTACCCTTCTCTATTTTTATCTCGTGTTTCTCTCCTGTATCCCCTCTCCCCTCTCTCCCACCCTCTATCTTCTCTTTTGCTGTTAGCTTCTCTCTCTAAACCCCGCCGTTTCATCTCCCGTTCCGTTCCTTTCTGTTCTCACTAATATTTCATTTTTGGTACTCCATCTGTGTTCTTCATCTTCTAACATTAGTTTCCTACAACTCCATCCTACAGCCCCTCTTTGTGTCCATCTTTCTTTATATGTGAATATATGTGTATATCCCGCTCACCTTTAACTTTCCTTTTCCCCTCATAACTTCGCACTTTCTTTCTTTTGTTAGTTCCGCGATTACTACCTTATTTCCCCTTACTTCAAATGTTTTTCGCCTCTTTCACATTCGCCTCTACTTGTAGGCTTTCTTTTAGTCTTTCTTTTTATCCATCTGTCCTCCTTTATCGTTATGTTCTTATTTATTTTTTTCCCTTTTTGTTCTCTCATTTTCTTCTTCGAGTTCATTTTTATCCTTCTATGAGTTCTTCTTTTTCCTTATTCCATTGCGCTTCCCTTTTCTACATTTGCTACATTAATCTTACAATCCATCATCCATCATCTTCTCTTTCATCTCCTTTTCCTCATTAGTCTACTTTACTCGTTCCATTAATTTCTCCATTGCTTTATCCATGTTTTCCTCTTCTCTTCTCTTCAATTCGCCTTCTAGTTTTTGAAATAGGCACAAAGTAAGTGGTATGGAGGTGACTGAAAGCATTGTCGCAAAATATCTTAAGCCTATTCTGTTTGGGTTGGTTATGGGTTTAACGTAGTCAGACAAGCATCTGATTACTTCATTTGGACTTTTAGACCAAGAGATAACGGCAGATTTTGTGTGATGATTAGTAAACGTCTGTATGTAAAAAAAAACGAAAAGAATCGAAAAAAATAATAGGGGTTTCGGTTCTCAATAAGTTTCCATTTCTGAAGGAATAACGGTTTCGGTCCGGTTTTCGGTTCTTCTTCGGTCCGGTCCGGTTTTCGGTTCTTCTTCGGTCCGGTCCGAGTCCCTGCTTGACACCCATACAACTCAAACAACACATGATGGTGGCCATACACTTTTTTAATTTGCACAATTACTATTCCTTACATTTGTAGTATTGCTAAGTGTTACCCCAAAGCGAAATATCGCTTAGTGACAGACGATCTGTCCATTTCTTCTTCTAGGACACAAAATTACCGTTTTCACCTCTTAAAAATTATTTTTGGCAGAAATTACATTTAAGTTCAACATCCCCACGTCCCCTTCACGATTTTTTTGCTGATTGCTCCAGAACGCCACATCCCCTAGATTGATGTTAACTGACAACAAAATTGTATTCGTGATCGACCAACAACCCCTAGCGAAATTAACACTCATCACGCTATTTTCACCTCTCACATCATAAAGTATTATACGTGTAAGTGAAATATGTGCTTAGTTTATCATAACATGGCTCCGACCTCATCGGGAGCTTACTCTTTATGAAACAACAACATACCCGCAGTAATGCCTTCTGCAGTCGTTTAACAAAATAGCATTGCGACCCCTCGCCTTTTCTTCTAAGGAAATTGTGCTAAGCTCTGAGCACATTATAATTTTTCTAAAATACAGTTTTCCGTAATATCTTCCTTGAGTTTGTGGCAAAGATACATTGTATCCTGAAAGGAAATCGCACGAAAACGTATCTAAGTTAAAGGAAGAATGAATAATTTTAATTAAATCATGTAGTATTTAAACGCGATTCGTAATTCGTATTTTTTTAGGTGGGGGATGAAATTCTGGCCGTAAATTTGGTGGATGTGACGCGAATGAGTTTAGATGATGTAGTTATAATAATGTCTATCCCAAGAAGACTGGTCCTAGCAACAAGACAAAGGAAAGGCAGTAAAGGAGGCCAGGGCTCGCCAAGTGTTCAACCAAGATCTGAGCACAAACCGCCACCGGTAGTGGTTATTAAACGAGATTTACGCGAGGATGAGAATGACGACGGCGAATTAAGTCAAAATAGGTATAATAATTTCGAATTGTCGCAAGCCTCTTTTAAAAAACAGAAAACGTTTCTGAGCAACTTTTCAATGACCTAATTTAGAGTTCAAGTTAATATTCAAGCAACGCTAAAGGAATCCGTCACGTTTATTGACACTGCTCCAGAATGAGAAAACTTTAAATATTACCCAGTTTTTTTTTCTGCTAAAAGTGTCAAGATAACAAAGCGGCTAATGCTAAGAATTTACGAAAAACTTTCTTAATGCTTTGTCAGTTTTAATTAAACTTTTGAAGATATTCGTGCGTTTCAGGGATTCGACTCGGCAAAGACATACGGGGGACGGTAGGGAAACGATAGAGTCGCGGTCTCGTTTAGGATTAGGTTTATCGTCGTTAGATACACGTCATACGTCGCAAGATACGAGCAACGGATTAGATCTTTACTATAACTCGAGACCGCCCGACTCAAATACGTGGGGTTATCAACCTCCGCCCCCCGTCATCACCGAACAACCAAAGTCTAATATTCAGCACTTCCAACCATACGAACGTAATTACCCCAACACTCTCGAAAGTTTGGCGGAAAAGGTTCATTCATTTGCTCTTCCGGGACGAAGGATGTCGGCAGGAACCCAACCAATAACTAGGTGAGCCACTTCGAACACTCGTGGTGTACCCCCCCCCCCATATTTCAAAATAAATACACAGTTTCTAGTTCATTTGTTTGCACTCAGCACTTCACAATAACCCCCCAACTTTCGAGAAAAAAACATCTGAACACCGTTAATTGTCTACCAATGGAAATCAAGAGATGGTGCACCCCCCCCCCCCCCCACTGCAAAACAAATGACAGGTGTGTCGACCACCGAATTCGTACGAACGAAATCGGATAGTGCCAAATGTGCAAACAACTGATCTATAAACAGTGTTGTCAGTGGCGGATGTACAAATTTGCCGCCAGTAGGCTATTCCATTTTTGGCGCCCCTACTAGTGCGGGGGTTATAGGTTTCAACCTTGCATTTTGTGATAACTTTAGGAAACTTTCAGAGGATGTTCTAGACACCCTAAGGTTCAATTTCAGCTATGCCGCCACCCCCGCAACTCCAGACGGCACTTGCTATAGCGGGTTACTTAGGTGCAAGGTAGCATTTCAATACCCGCCCATAAAATGGGTCAAAAATGTATATCCAGGGTTTGTTTTGTACTTTCTTACATCTAGGAAGGTGAAGTGAATTGTCAAATACCCAGGGAGAATTTATGTAGGGTATTTTACGTGGTTTACCTATTTTTAAGGCGCTTTTAACAGTGCGGGCAGTAAACTCGTGACGGAGACCTCTTTTGGCTGCTCTATTGAATATTATATAGTTAACTATGCTCTAAAGTATTTATTGAGACTTTACAATGCTGTTAACGATAACTATGGCACCAAATTTATTGAACCCTATCTTGAGAACACTCGCCTCCGCAGTCGCACAATTCGGTGCAGGGCATGTCGGACTTGGCACAGCTGCACCGCACAGAATTGCTTATTTGCCAAATTATTTAAAGTTTTGCGAGATCCCGCAAATACCGGGATCCCGCGGGATTAACATCTAACAATCCCGCAAATACCGGGTTTGAGATTTTGCTACGGGATTGCATTCCCTACTAGAAACCAATTTCGAAAGAAAATTCAAAGAGCTGTAACTTTTGAACTAGTAGCCCAATCTTGGAACTGTTTGAAATTATGGATTCTACAGGCCACATTCTATAAGACAAATTTTTGTCGGGTCGATCTGAGACAATTTTTTTTGAGGGCCTCAAAAAAAGGCAGTGTCTGCCTTTTTTTTTACCAAAAATCGACTACTCCAAAACTTCTCGGGAAAATACTTTTTCTTATTAATTTTGGTGAGTAGAATCCAAAACAATTCGTACTTTTTCGATCAGACTTCTCAATCAAAAGTTATAGACTAGAAACCAATTCCGAAAGAAAATTCAAAGGGCGTAACTTTTGAACTAGTAGCCCAATCTTGGAACTGTTTGAAATTATGGATTCTACAGGCCACATTCTATAAGAAAATTTTTTTTCCGGGTCGATCTGAGACAATTTTTTTTTCGGGGCCTCAAAAAAAGGCAGTGTATAACCTTCCTTTTTTACCAAAAATCGACTACACCAAAATTTCTCGGGAAAACACTTTTTCTTATTAATTTTGGTGCGTAGAATCCAAAACAATTCGTACTTTTTCGATCAGACTTCTCAATCAAAAGTTATAGACTAGAAACCAATTTCGAAAGAAAATTCAAAGGGCTGTAACTTTTGAACTAGTAGCCCAATCTTGGAACTGTTTGAAATTATGGATTCTACAGGCCACATTCTATAAGAAAATTTTTTTTCCGGGTCGATCTGAGACAATTTTTTTTGAGGGCTCAAAAAAAGGCAGTGTATAACCTTCCTTTTTTACCAAAAATCGACTGCACCAAAATTTCTCGGGAAAACACTTTTTCTTATTAATTTTGGTGCGTAGAATCCAAAACAATTCGTACTTTTTCGATCAGACTTCTCAATCAAAAGTTATAGACTAGAAACTAGGGAATGCAATACCGGGATTGCGGGATCTCGAAATACCGGGATCCCGCAGCATTTTTGCGAGATTAATCCCGCACATAAATCGAGGGATTTGCGGGACTGAGGAATTTGTCGACCAAGGGGCCGACTCTATTTACTTTGTTAATGAAACTGATAACGGCGATTATTTTTTAAATAATTGTTAAACTTTTTTCGTTAAAAATGTACTATGATTTTTGAGGCACTTTAGAAGACTTTTTGTGCTTTACAGGTAAGGTTTTTTTGAGTTCTAAGTTAGGCCGAAGGTACTTTTTTGTTAAATATTGTGATAATTAGCGATTTATTTTAATACAGAAGTTAACCGCACAGAATTGCTTATTTGCCAATTTATTTAAAGTTTTGCGAGATCCCTCAAATACCGGGATCCCGCGGGATTAACAACTAACAATCCCGCAAATACCGGGATTGAGATTTTGCTGCGGGATTGCATTCCCTAGTCCGCACTGTTAAAAGCGCCTTAAAAATAGGCAAACCACGTAAAATACCCTAAATAAATTCTCCCTGGGTATTTGACAATTCCCTTCAACCTTCCTAGATGTAAGAAAATACAAAACAAGCCCTGGACATACATTTTTGACCCATTTTATGGGCGGGTATTGAAATGCTACCCTGCGCTTAAGAAACCCGCTATAGCAAGTGCCGTCCGGGGTTGCGGGGGTGGCGGCATAGCTGAAATTGAACCTTAGGGTGTCTAGAACATCCTCTGAAAGTTTCATAAAGTTATCACAAAATGCAAGGTTGAAACCTATTTTGGCTCGTATTCACTAAAACAATTATTAGCATGATTATTGTGAACTAGGCCCTAGGGGATCGTTGTGTCATAAATTCTGCATAACTTTGACCATTTAAGCGACTTTTATCCCTTACGGTTTACAAGATATCCATAGTTAAAATGAAAAAAAAGCTCACCCTGCACAATATTTATTTTTTTATTTCTGTAAGATACTAATTTTTGGCCCAAATTTGCCGCCCCCTAAAATCTGCGGCCCTAGGCTCCACCCTACTCACCCTGCTGATAAATCCGCCACCGAGTGTTGTTGGTTGGTGTCTATTTTAAAGAATGTTGCAGTACCACAAAGATCTAATTTTAGATTATCTACACAACAAAGCCCGCACTATTACGTACAGCACACCAGCACAGGATCGCGAAGGATAATGCCACGTTCAGGTTCCGACCAACATCTTCCCCACACCGAATACGCCGATTACACTAGTATAACTCCGGCCGGAAGGCATAGCCTTCTTAGATCTAGTTTAAAATCCGGTTCCACGCTTAGTCGATATAACCAAAGGTACGTGGACCAGGCTTCGATAGCTGCCCAATTGGCTCAATCGAAGTATGGGCCACCACCGTCTCAGTATGGAGCGACATCGACGCTGTCGCGGAGAAATCGAAGCAGTCTGGATTATTCCAGCGATACCGAGGCGACCGCTGGCCCTAGAAGTAGTTACTACTACTATAGGTTTGTTCCTTCTTCTACCACCTTCCTCTTTTATATAAAACGATTTTAGGAACCAAAGCGTGGTACCTCACAGCACAATTCCTACATTAGGAAGAAACAATTCACTGACAACAACAGACATCAGCGCAAAGTTTAATTCATTGCCTCGCGACACTCGAGGAACCACGAGGTAAATTAAATTAAAAAGAAGACCAAGCAGTAACGATCCCTTTTGCCAGGTTAAGCATGGGTAAAAGGTTCGGTGACCGAAGCGTTTCGCTTTTGCAAGACGAATCGGACGGAGCACTGTCTGCGCCAGAAATGCCATCCACCATTCGAAGGGACAGAGGTATGCTAAGATCCTAAATCATAAAATGCAAGCGCTGATTTTACCCATTTCGGTTTATTTTTTCGCTTTTTCTTTACTAGGCTTCAATTGAATAGTTTAGCAAATGGTTTTTCTATGAGTTGCTTTCACTTCTTCACTTGCATTTTTCTCATTCTCATGAAGGGAGGATACCTTCGTCACCTAGTGTATTCACTTCAGATGAATACAGACAGTGGCTTAGTCGAACTCCATCAACTTCGGCTATATATGAACAGATCAGAGCTTCTAGGGACGTGCTAAACCAGCAGAGGGCGGCGAGGTTTACATATAGCGCGGAAAATATTCACGCGGCGTTAAAAGATGTAAGTTAATTCGTTAAGGTAGACGCGTATTATTATGATTGAATTGGCGTAGACGGAGGGAGGATATTATAGTTCATACGGGCGTCCAGGTGCAACTACGACATTAGATAGAAACTTTACACGTTCTCAGCATCCAGTTGCGCCCGCTAGGTCATTATCAACACAACACATTACCTCATCATCATCTGGTAAGGTTTTTAAGACGCGGAATCAATACAGGCTAACGTTCTATGCAGCTTTAAGTTCGACACGATCGCCATCGATGAGAAGAATGAGGCAACTGCTCGATTTAGATTCGGGACGATCGGCTGCCGCTCCGAGCCCAGTTCCGACTCCGAGTGGTACGCTTCCGAGAGGTCAACGTCAGCTGGACATCAATCCGGCCGGTGAGTCGCCTCCTAGATGCGCTCATACAAACTCATGGGAACATTTCAGAGTTCCTCAAGTACAAAATTGAAAAACCCGGCACCGGTGCGGCGACAATGGGAGGTTTCTCTTTGGGAAGCACGACTACGGGAAGCATGACTAGCGACGAGCCAGTCAGCGGAATGCTGTGGGTACATTTGCTAGCGGGCAGAGGACTGAGGGCGTCGACAGGTACGTCGGCCGCAACGACGCCCGTGACGCCCAGCGGTAGTACACCAAGTAGCATAGGTAACCGCCATCTTCTCCTCTTCCTGACACTGACCGCCTTTCGTAGGTTCTTCCGGTTTGAGAGACCTCTATTGTGTGTTAGAATGTGATAGGGTACACAAAGCTCGGACCGTCGTGCGAACTGGCGATTTAGTTTTCGATTGGGACGAGAGCTTCGAATTAGATTTAGTAAATAATCGGGAACTTGACCTTCTCATATACTCATGGGATCCTCAATATCGACACAAATTGTGTTATAAAGGATCTGTTCACCTTCCTTCGCTTTTAAAAACGGGCCCGTTGCATCAACTCGCCCTGAAGATCGAACCTCGGGGTAATTTATGCGAAAGTCCTTCAAAATTTGCATTTGTCTTGTTTTAGGGACGCTATATTTAAGATTAAGGTACAACGATTCACACACGCTTTATAGGAGGAAAAGCGCGTCTAGTTTAAGTTTATCTCGAACAACTTACCCTCCGTTATTCGGGGTTGATCTTGATACAGTGGTAAGTGTCGATTTGCGTTTACTATTTGTTACCCGTATTAAGTGCGACTGTTTGTAGGTTAATAGGGAAAATAAAGCGGGTATAAGTGGGGGAGTTCCTACAAGCCTAGTCGGTAGTGGTTTACAAGTTCCATTAATTTTGAAAAGGTGCGTCGACGAAATCGAGAGAAGAGGATTAGATATAATAGGTTAAACATGATTTAACACGCATCCAATTTTCCGGACAAAGAATATTTTTTTAGGATTATACCGACTATGCGGTTCCGCAACGAAAAAACGAATTTTAAGGGAGGCATTTGAGCGAAACAGCAGATCCGTGGATTTAACTCCTGAAAATGTTCCCGACATAAATGTGATTACGGGTGTTTTAAAAGATTATTTGCGAGAACTGCCGGAGCCCTTATTTACGAAGTGCTTGTATCAAATGATGGTGGACGCATTAGGAGTTTGCCTGCCCGACGACCCGGAAGGAAATGCGAAGTTAATGTTTTCGATATTAGATTGTCTGCCTCGGATAAATAGGGTAAGGTTATGCGGGCAGATATCAATGTTATATTCAAACACGCATTTTTCAGACAACCCTCATATTTCTCATGGATCATTTAGCTTTAGTCGTGTCGGCGAGTGATCGAAACAAAATGTCGGCGCAAAATTTGGCGACGGCCCTTGCGCCACCCTTAATGCTTCACTCCATCGAGTCGATGACCCCATCGGGACAGCGGCATCAGGATCTGGATTACGCTCAACCAATAGGCCTCTTAAAATATTTATTACAAATTTGGCCTGTTCCTAAACATCGAGGTAATGTGTTATTACCGCTAGCGTGTAGCTACTCCAGAACAAGGCGGCATGTAGTTTGTAGATCAGTAGTGACTTGCACCATTTCATCACATTTCGTTTTTTGTTCGCACTATAATCTGTATGTTAAAAGTAGTTGACATTCTCTATGTGTTGGGGTGTTGTTGGTATTGAGAGTGGGGCCTTTCCAGACAGGTCGGCGCGCCAGACCAGTCGAGCAGCGTGGAGACAATCGCAATGTGTATCCTCAGGGGGCAGTTTATCGAGGGCCGTCTCGGCCCTCAGTGGCTCCGTGTCCTCCTCCTCCTCGCTCAGCAGTCTCGGAACCTCGAGGCCCTGTGCCACCGGTCCCATCACCCCAGATACTCGTAAGTATTTCAATTTCATTTAAATCGATTACAAACATATCATGGAAAAACATTGACGTCTTTCCAAACCTTTCACCCTCATGATTTCACTAATGCAAAAGAATTTTATACATTTCAATCCTAGTATCTAAGCCGTTCTTTCATTCAACATATTGAAGTAGACATAAGCTTTAGGAGAGGAAGCACTTATGTCCAGTGATCGATTTTAGAGAGGATTTTTTATTTTTTCAAATTATGTTTAGCGTTCTTATTCCGCCGATCCGAATTTCAAACATTACCAACGTGGACAAGATCATTAACTATTTGTTTCACAAAAGATCTACAGCAAATACCTGCTCGTGGATTTTTTTTGAAGATATGTTTCACAATTCTCGTTATGCGAATTGTTAATTAAAACGATGTTTTTTAGAACCGATCTTTTTCTAAAATAATAGTATATTATATACCGCGGGACTGAAGTAGTACTTTTAATCCCGAAGGTAAAGTTTATGGCCCGACCGAAGGGAGGGCCATAATTTACCTGAGGGATTAAGACCACTACTTCAGTCGCAAGGTATATACGATATTTTTCGTACTTCCGAAACTGAAACACTTAATATGTATCGAGTTAGAGAACGCGTTCTTTCAAAAAATCGCTGCTTAACAAGTTACCATAGGAACGTTGCGTTGTGGTACGACAAACCCTATGCTCTGGTAACAAAAATAATTTGGAAACTGTCATTGCTAGTGTCATAATTTTGGTGGTGGGTGACAAAGGTGTATTTGATATTGATAAAAATCAGCCAAATTAGCTAAAGAATTGATACCACCGAAATCCAAAAAATTATATGAGCAGCTGTACGATGCGTTTAAGAAGTAGTGCAGCATACAAAATGTGGAACAACCTACTGAAATTGCCTTGTTAGTAATTTCATCCTTCCGGGATTTTCGTCCAAATTTAATCCCGGCGGGACAAAAAGTGACACTTCAGTACTTGTCATAATGGAGTGAAGTTGTCACTTTAGTCTCGGAAGTACGAAAATTAAGTTATTTTGTTGCCCATTAACACAAACAACCTTTGACGTGTCCTAAATAGTGATGCCGCCGAGACCAATTTTCGAGACGAGACCGAGGTTCAATCTCGTCTCGTCTAGACGACACTAACCATGCGTCTTGGCGAGAGTCTCGACGAAACTCTCGTTTGGTCTTGAAGTTTTTTTTTTTAATTTTTTGTACGGGTTTTTTTCCGGAGTTTTTTCCTAAATTTTAATCACGAAAACCCATTCAAGTAGCACGAATTCCAATTATTTACATAAACCGTCGCCGATATTACTGATTTATGACTTAATTACCATAGGTCCTATACTATAACTGTGACATTTCTTAAATCCAGGAAGCCTTCGACAGTTTTATTTTATATTATTTTATTATTTATTTATTTATCACCACATATGCAGATGACACTGGTGTTAGTCTGGCTTGTGTTGAAAAAGAGTTAGAAATTAATTTAAAACGTGCGTTATCAACTCTTATTAATTGGTTTAATGCAAATAAACTTTTACTCAATTTGGAAAAAACAAAAATTCTTCTTTGTAAGAAAAATATGGGTTTTGATATCGCTTCACTGCGTTATCAGTCAGTTCAATTAGAAAGGTGTCAATCCTGTACCTTCTTAGGAGTTATTATAGACACAGAACTTACTTGGAAAGATCACATTGGCAATCTGAGAGCAAAATTACATTCGATTTTTGCATTGTCCCGTATTTATGTGACCATAAAACCCTTTTGCAAATCTACTATTCAATATTTGAAAGTAAGGTGCGATGCGGTATCTCATTACGGGGAGACGCTCCTAGTCATAGAATTGCTAGCATATTTACGGTTAAAAAAAGAGCAATCAGGGTAATGTTTTCGCTACAAAAACGGGAAATCCTGCAAACCGTATTTTAAAAATTTACATTGCAACTGTCTATTCATTAAATGTGCTTGAATGTTTATGTTTCGTGTTCAAAAACAAAAAATTATTTTCATTAAATTGTGATAACCACTCATAATACGAGAACAAAAAATAACTTTTCTATAATGAGATCAAAAAGTAAAGTGCATAACTCATCCTACCTACAGATGGGGGTGAGATTTTATAATGTCCTTCCGGCACATGTCAAATGTATTACAATGTTGGCTCCTTTTAAAAACCAAATTAGAAAAATTCTTCAGTCAATGGTGCTATACACACTGGATGATTTCTTTGCGAATATCAAAAAATACTAGTCATATTAAAAAAAAATTATCAAAGTCCTCGTTTGAGATCGAAGGGACTTCAGCGCATTTTTGTGTGGCAGATCAGTATTCTATTAGCCACTTTCGACTCAACCATCAATAACAGATCTTGTCGAAGGCTACTACATTCACTAACCGCTTCCCACTTTCCTCGTGCACCCGCAATTCGCTTTTAAAGATTTGACTCCACCATCAGTAAGATCGTGTCGGGGGCTACCACATTCCCTTTGACGGTACCCACTTCCGACGTTCGGTTCACCCGCAATTCGCGTTTGAAGATTTGACTCCACCATCAGGAAGATCGTGTCGGGGGCTACCACATTTCCTTTGACGGTACCCCCTTCCGACGTCCCGTTCACCCGCAATTCGCGATTGAAGATTTGACACCACCATCAGTGAGATCGTGTCGCGGGCTACCACATTCCCTTTTACGGTACCCACTTCCGACGTCCCGTTCACCCGCAATTCGCGTTTGAAGATTTGACTCCACCATCAGGAAGATCGTGTCGGGGGCTACCACATTCCCGTTGACGGTACCCCCTTCCGACGTCCCGTTCACTCGCAATTCGCGTTTGAAGATTTGACTCCACCATCAGTGAGATCGTGTCGCGGGCTACCACATTCTCTTTTACGGTACCCACTTCCGACGTCCCGTTCACTCGCAATTCACTTCTATTGGCGACACGAGAAAGAGAGACAGCGATTCGAGATTCACGAAACGTTAAACCGCGTGAGTTCGCAACGGAAGGTAAAAGGCGCCTGACTACTTCTCGAAGACGCGCGCGCCGCCTCGCAAAAGGTCGTTAATTTCGCCCCTATGACAAAAAACAAAATTCCGCCACGCAGGAGTTGTGCGCGTTTACAACATCTTTCCGACGACACCAATTTCAAAAGAATCGGACCAAAACTGTAGTAGAAGATAGGAAAAAAACTGAAAAACCTTCAGGTTAGTATACTACGCTCGAGGATGACGCCCAGATGTCGCCAACCCCACATCATGTAGCCATGTCCCTAAGGTTGACAAATTTCACGGCCCTGTAGATACACGTACACCCGTTGCCTTTCTACAAGAGTTCTTCTACGCGCCCACATTTGCTGCCAGCCAGCCAGCCAGCCAGCCAGCCAGCCAGCCAAAGTGAGATTAAAAGCTACTTTTTACAAAAAAAATTTTTTGCAAAAATGCGCTAAAAAATTAATACCTATATACACCTATTTACATTTCTTTTTTATAGATATATTTATATTATTTATTGTACTTTATTGTGTTTTTTATTTAAGTATATTTTGAAAAAACACAAGAGAAACGTTGTTTTGAATTTTTAAAACAAAGATTAAGTTTAGCTGTTCAGCAGGAAAATGCGGCTTGTATTTTAGGCACTTTACCGCAACAGGCAGCATTTACTGAAATTTTTTATATTTTAAGTATACGCTAATTTTTTTTTCTAACAATTTTATTTGTAGTATTTTAATATTGTAACCTTTTCTTAAGTATTTACCAATAGTAAAAATTTATGTTGTTATTGTGTGACAGTTACACCACATTCGTGGTTGAAATAAACGCCCTTTCTCTCTCCTGCTTATTCAGATAATAATTGTAATTGTCTCTGCTGGACAAATAAGAATTGGTTTTAATAAGTTCTCGCGGATTCCTTTATATTAATAGTTCTTAATGCTCTTTTTTCACAAGTTCATGGGAATAAATCCAGTCGTTTGTAGGTATACATATTTACCGCATAGTTGAGACCATAAAAGTAAGATTTTGCCAAAGTAACTTGGTCAGATTGTTTTTAACTAGGTACCTATTTAAATAACAAAGAATTCAGTGTGTTTTTCATAGTTATATTATCAGTTACATTTTATGAAAGCTAATATTTTTTAGCTGCAGAATTCTTAAAATACGCGTAAGTAATAGAGAAATTGTGTTTCATGATTAACACTTAGCAGATACTTGTCATGCCTTCTTGGTGCCTTTTATATGCTCTACACCGTTTTTGGATAGTAGCTATGTCGAGACCAAGCGAGACCAAGGGAGACCAAACGAGACCAGACGAGACCAGACGAGACGAGACTGAACCAGGTCGAGACGAGACTTTGACTTGGTCTCGTCTAGCGGCAACACTAGTCCTAAATGAGAAAAAGTGTAGTTTTTACAATAAATGAAGAATGAAGCAAACTGGTCCTTGTATTTCTTCGTGCTATAATAACATTTCAATTTATAGTGAGGACAACCTCGCATAAATTAACACTATGTCCACAAATACTTAGGTAAACTAACCCTGTTGAAAGGAACTCTGTGTATACAGAATTTTTAGGCAATTTTCATTGTACGAACTATATTTATTAGATTAACAAATGCAAAACCCTCTACACTAATCTCGTAAAAAATACAAAATTTAACTTATCTCTGCTTTACGATCGTAATGTATGAGAGCAGTTTCATAAGTCAAAGATATTTTTTTCGGCATAAGCTTTTTATTCCTCAACATGGATAGACACATTTAGTCTACCCCTTTTCCAATTTTTTATTCCTTCCAAATCATAGGTTTTCTCAAGTCTTTCAATAAGCGTTTGTTTCATATTGATTTCATTCGACCCAAATTTCTTACCTCCCAACCATTTATATGTATATATACCAATATAACATACCATATACAGGGTGACAATTTGAAAACTTACCACCCCCCATATCTTAGTAAATAAACGAGATATTTAAAAAAATCAAAATCCGTTTCGGTAATTCGGAGGGGGAATCACAATGACATAGTTGGCGACGCACCCCCTCCAACCCCCTGCGCCCCAGCCACCCCAACTTTTAAATCTTAAATAGTGACCCCCCATGTGTGATACGTCGTTGGAAAGCTCTGAAAAAATGCTTTCCAACCATACCAAATAGCATTACATTTAGGTTAGTAATTATCGTGCAAATCAAAAAATAAACATGGAAAATCGTATTTAACTTGAACTTCCAAAGCCGACTCGACAGCAACTCATTTTTGATCGCCAGTTATAATCTATTCTCAAACTCTTGTCGAACCTTTCCTATGTTGGTTTTGCAATATTTCGACATTCTTGAATTATTCTCTGTCTTAGTTCGTCTATGTTCGCCGGTTGCGTTTTAAATACGACAGATTTCAAATGTATCATATTAGTTTATTTTTTGATTTGCACGATAATTACTAACCTAAATGTAATGCTATTTGGTATGGTTGGAAAGCATTTTTTCAGAGCTTTCCAACGACGTATCACACATGGGGGGTCACTATTTAAGATTTAAAAGTTGGGGTGGCTGGGGCGCAGGGGGTTGGAGGGGGTGCGTCGCCAACTATGTCATTGTGATTCCCCTCCGAATTACCGAAACGGATTTTGATTTTTTTAAATATCTCGTTTATTTACTAAGATATGGGGGGTGGTAAGTTTTCAAATTGTCACCCTGTATAGTTAATATGCTGGATGGGGTAGAAGTTCGTAGCGCAGTTTATGGAATTTTGCCATGGTGACTAAACATGTGTGCACCTGTGCATCGCGATGATGAAACAGCACTTTTTCCTTTGCCAAATGCGGCGTGTCTCCTTGAAATCAATATTGTATCTATCCAAAAGCTCTGAATAACATTTTATGGTGATGGTTTTACCTCTCTGAAGATAATCGATGAAAAACTACAATTTAGTGCGAAAGTTGTGCTTCTTTATTTTTCGATAATTTGTTAAAACGTGGTTCTATTTTTGATACGTACTTTCTAAGTGGAGCCTATTTCTTTCCTTAGTTTTTATGCAAGAGATGTGAGAGCTTCCTACCAACGATTGGTCCATTGTAGTTTGTTCGACAACTTTCTGAACACCAAGAAAATATTCGTACATTTTTTTTTCAAAGTTTTTTCAAAAACTCGGTCTTCTAAGGAATGCTGTGGTTTCATCCTTCGCTGTTAAAATACTTCCTTTAAATCTCACAAATTACGAAACCACATACATCGAGTGGCTTCCAAACCTCAGCGAGAAGGAAGTCATTGAAAATCACGAAGAGGAAAGCCTGCTTTGGAGCGACTGTGATGACGACGATGAGTAGACCACCCCTGGACTTTCAAAGAGTTCAAATTACAAAAGACTGGCAAATCTGACGAATGAATTTTTTGTTTCAAATGTAAAAAAATTGGTCATCGGGTATGAAACTGTCCAGAATTTAAGTCAAAACGCGAAAAATGCCAGTTAGTGAACCACACGTGTTTTTCAGATTCGGTGAGCTATTTTAACAACAGTTCGAATTTAAAATGGTGTTTGAACATTGAACAGTGACACGCTAGGTACCTCTCATTTTTGGGATACTTTAAATCTCACGAATTCCGAAACCACGGACACAGCTGGAACGGGAAAAGTTAGTTTTTCTGTATACGCGTGGGATCAACAAAAGACTAGAAAGACTCTATTATCGGTCGGTCGGTAAAATCACAGATCTTGGTTTTGAAGTCATATTTCACGAAAAAGAAGCTGTTATTGTGATTGATCGCAGGGGATAGTCAAACTAGTCAAACTGTCGAATCCCTTGGTCCACCTTCACCGATATCCCAATTATGTAGCTGGTCAATCGTTTCATGTTTTCCGCGCGATTCCTGTTGAAGAACCCGCTCGGCCCTCGAGGCTTCAGTTCATTTGCTTTGTAACGGCTTTTTCGCTTTTGGACAAGGTTTTAATTAAAAAAACTTGGATATGCTCCCAACGAAACATTTGGAGCAGAATACATAAATGAACATATCGGAAAAGGTAAGTGAAAGCCTTTACTTGGCAGAAAATGAACTTTGAACAGATATGCTTTTCTCGGACTCTTTGATAACTGCTTACTTTGTTAAAATAATTCTTATTGCTTCGAAAATCTCAATCTTATAAGTGCTCATGACCCGGCAGTGCTCCACTACATCCGACTACTCAATATACAGGGTGCGACAGCTATGTATGTAAAAAAAAATCGGTGGATACATGGGTCTCAGCGAGCACTTTCTCAGCGTAGATGGACGGCTTATGGCCAATCGCACCGTCAAAATTAAGTATTGCTTAAAGTTAAGCATAACTTAAATGCCATAGCAACAATTGTCTTAATAATCGTTGCCATAGATTTTAAGTTCGACTTAACGTTAAGCAAGGCTTAATTTTGTCGGTGCAACTGGGCTTTAATGGTTTCGTTTGGGATTTACGGCCCCAAGAACCCAAAAATGGGTGTTTTTTTTTTACGTTTTATCAAGTTAGAAACGAAGATTAAATTCGAACGGCATATGACAAAATATTAATTACTTAATAAACTAGTACTCTAATCACAAAGATAATGTTCTTTCTTATCGTGGAGGAGAAACATTTCTTGGAATTGAACACAAATTGATGAGTATAGACAAAATGGGTTATATGTTCGAAGTAAATAACGCAAAATGGACATTTTCGAGTGTAAAGGGCCCGAAAAAACATGACTATTACATAGAAGTGCGCAAATAAATACAAGGCTATCTAAAACTTGGGCCATTTTCACAGGCAATTTATTGTTTTTAGTCACCCTATATCTACATAATTTACACTTATTGCGATTATCTCGATTCACTATGTAGAAATGACTATTATCGCTGACCTTTTCGATTTGCATCATCTTCGTGAAGGAACTAAGATGTTAAGCAAATACTCATATTAATTGCTCTCAAAGCAGCCGACGCGCCATTTACTAGTCCACATTTTTTCAAAATATTATCCGCCATTTCCTTACTTTTAACTTCGCTGTATCTATTTCTGTACGCGTTGTAGTACGATAACCAAATGGCAGAATGCTGCAGATTACCATTTTGATCTAAAAACCCGATCGATTTCCAAAAGCACTCGATAAACACCTGATATCCTCTATGATTTTTATCTACGTTTTCGCTGTTGTGAATCTCAAAAATTTCACGTCCATCCAAATTGTTAATTTTAATGCAAAGATCGGCGTGCTGTTTTAAATCTTCTTTGCAAAAAACCTGTAATTAGTATACTGTAGGGGTAGGAACGTAGCTACAGTGGTAAATCACATACCTGGACTGTAAGTAGGATTAAAGAGATTACGGCGAGTTTCATTATTGATAAGTAGTTCACATCCGAGTTCCTTGACAGCAGTTTTGGAAAGGAACGGTAATAGAGATAATGGGACATTTCATTAACTTAATCTGTATGACGACATCTTATTTTTATATACAGCATGGACCGTTTCGTACATCTTTGGCTTATCTGAATGATTCTAAAAATAAGTGCGAAACATTTGATAATAAAATAGTATTATTTGTCAAACAGCAGTTGAACCAAATAAGGAAAAGTTCTATATTTATACGCATATTTTCGTGAGCAACCAATAATGCAGTATTTTAAAATTTCAGGGCCCATCATCAGTAAGCAAAGGTCCTTACCGTCCGCTCTCCCCTCGAGTAGGTCCACTGCCAGCAGCGGGAGTCGCTCTCAAACCACGCCAAGTGATAGTCTCTTCTCCAGGTTCACCAAGCAGTAGCAGCGATTCACAATCGGGTTCCGATTCAGTGAAACACTGTCTACCAAGTCGTGTTAGTTCACCGGCCATGAGAGCGTCGCCATCTCAAGCAATGAGAAAATCGCCGTCGGTGACTAGCGCGACGGGAATTCGGAATTCACCATCCGCCACATCCAGTTTAAGAAACTCCCCGTCAACAGCAAGTGTCAGCTCTCCGGTTACGAAGCACTCCCCATCCATATCCAGTCTGAGCCGTACCTCCCCCTCGGTAATCCTCATGTCAACAACTCGATCCAGTTCGCCCGCAATGCAAGGCAGCTCCGCCGGTCTCAACGTCACACTCAATACGACCACACCATCATTTGCAACCCTCTCAAGTTTGCAGTCGACGATTTCTAACATAAGCACAACAGCCGGTAACATTTACAACTTGAGTTACACTCAACCTCCCACTTACGCAAGCACAAATCCCTTCCTAACCGGCGCATACCTCAATTACACACCTGGAGAAACAACTTACACCGAAAAGTACAACACGATCGGATCATCCAAAGAAATCTCCAAGCCATTCTCATTTACCGATTCAAACTTCCCGGAATCTTCAAAATATAACACGTTAAGCACAAAACCGATACACGACGTGACCGAGCCGAGCGACACAAAGTTTAACACAATCGGCAGCAAATATCAGGACAAGACAGGGTATTTGGGTATCAACTACGGAGCCGACCTGAAGTATAGCCCCGTGAAATCGACCGGAAGCGCTTACGATACAAGTCCGGGGATGTCTCAGACCAACAGTTCCATGCTTCTCAGCGTGGAAGATACACCTACTCCTACCAGTAGTATCGAGACGGAAGACAGCAACACTAGGGAGGTGGGCGAAAAGGATGTGGAAGGCGATGGTGAACAGAGTGATTAAATGTTCGATCACGAACGTTTTATGGCAGCACGTAAAAGACATAATTTTCGTATAACTTCGTACCATTCAACGTAAAATGTATTATCACTATGTACCTATCGTGTAATTCGGATGCGTTCGAACAAATTTGTCTGCTTTTTAGAATCAAATTTACTATACTAGTTAGGATCATTGTTAACTATTAAATAAATTATACCTATTATACGATTTCAGATGATATATAGATAGATCAAATATACTATACTATAAAACCTACTAACAATTATCTATAGGGCAAACCTAGAAAGTATAACAGTAGATTGTAGAAACCTGATCGTTGCACGCGTTGCACAAAGAATCTGAAACGTCAACTTCTTCCGTTTAGTAAACTTAATAATAATAGTAATACAAAGATCAGCGGATAGTAATATATAATTCTGTTTATACTTACTATAAATAAACGTGAAATGCACAAATAAAATACTTGAATACACTGCCATTGGATCTTAATGTTAGGCAGATTCCAACTAAGTAGGTATAAATTTAGATCGACTTTTAGCAACGGACGCGGATTTCCGTTTGTATCATAACACTAGCCAAATCATAGTGAAAACCATAAAAAAGTGTGGGAAATAAATCATGATCGTGAGAGATATTGGCACATGGCCGAACCCGACCGATTTTTTCATTGCTCGCCTCCTTCGCGGGTTTTAAAACGATCGGTCGTTTGGCGACATTTTGTTGTTCTGTATATTAATAGCCCCATTTATGTAAATATATTTGCTGAAAGGTTTTATAGTTGAATTTTATGTAATTTTCTGTAGATTTCGTAAAATTGTTTACCATGATGGTTGTTCAAGCACATGTAATTTATATATGTACAGTTATTCTAAGGTATTTTTGTTATGTTTTATTGCCATAACAATTGTTTATGAAATCGTTGCTAAATGTTTTAGGTTATTTTATCATTTAAGTATATATGCAGGGGTCAGAAGCGTAAAACAACACCGACCACCCTGTAAATAAAAATTAAAGTATAAGTAACACTGTATCTACAATAAAATGCTTGTACAGCAATAAGAATGCTAAATAAGCCGAGCACACTAGTTTGCATTTTTTATACTTCATTATTTCGGTGCTAGCTGCTATTTGTAAAACTAAATAAGTTTTGATGTTAGCACATACTTCATATATGTGAGAGGAAACGCAGGCCATATCAAAAAAAAAGAAAAAACTGCGTTGCCCTGCCTAAATAGCCTATCGTTGAATAATAAGTGTGGCTAATTTGTGTTAGAGGTGTGCGGTGGTGACAAAAAAATACTATAGTCAATTTTCAGTTCTGTCAATTTTAGATGAAGTAGGTGAATTTATTAGAATGTTATATTTAATATGCACTGGCTATAAAAATCATGTAGTCTATCTGATAGAATGACCAACCCCAAAATTGAGTCCATCATTCTTTTGATCCAAAATTCCAAGAACTTATTTTGCACTGTAAGCCGAAACCAACAAGTTCGTGGAGTCCCCATAAGCTATTTTGACAATCAAAGACCCCTTTTCCTACCATTATTTTTTACAAATACGTAACCAAACTCATCATTATATCAGATACGACTGTAAAATTGTTATATGTTAAATTTAAGAGTAAGTACGAATGAATGTGTGCACATATCATTAATACACTTTATACTTTCCTATACGATTAGATTGAACAGTGTGTGTACAATAATCTTATGCCTCGACCATGCCTTCTACTGAACGTTGTTACTCTCATTTCCCATTTTACTAAACAGATCATTATATCAAGCAAGCTTTTGTAACCCACAATAATTGTTATGAACATCCATCCCATCGTTACATTATTACATAGGTGAAAGTGAGCCGGTATTCATTTTCGGTCAACATTCAGTAAAGGCTTTCCTGCAAAATAGACTTTATTAAATTGTTATGTATACAGATTGGTACGGAAATATTCTACCGATTTTTAATGTAGAAAAAATGCTCAGCAGTGTACCATTTTCTTCATAATCGCGCCCTATTGTGGAAAACGTTTACTTTCGCACTTCATTTTCACATTTCATTATTATTAGAGGTTTCGTGAGCAATAATGTAAGGTTTTGTTCCAGCAGAACGTAGAATATTTCTGTATATTTAGATGTTAAAAATAAACTAAAGTATCAGTATTTACGATAGCTTTTCAAATGGCTAGACCCTCCTAAGATGTACTTACGATATAACGAAATAAAATCATTTGGTTGATCAGTATACAATTGTTGTTGGACTAATTTAAATATTTAATTGATTTATCATTTTAAATTAAAATGTGTTGGGTAAATTTGCGGTTAAAAAACCGAAACTATCTAATTCCAAAAACTGGGCACTGTTCATGTGCACTAATTTCGATTGGTTTTTTTTTACTAAGCTCGACTCTGCCATGAAGTCAAACGAGACATCTAAAAATGTGTTGTTAACTGCAAAAATAGTATTATTTTGCCTTAGCTTAACAAATGTTAACCAAATCTTCATCAATCTTTGGCTATTAAACTGTTATTTTGCAAATTTCTTCAAAATTGTTAAACAATATTACTCTTATCAAGATGTTTTTTTGCTTTAGCTTTGGATTTTGTGAATATGAACAGAAGAATTACGAGGAGGCGAAAGTAAGACTAAGAAAATTCGCTATCGTTATTCTCAAGGATGCATAGACTAGGTTTCTTTTCATTCATTAAAATTTATAAACAAAATTTAATTAAATTCTACTTTTTTACGATATTACGTTGACCTCCTGTTGCTCGCAAAACTTGATATTGAATTTCCATTTTTGGAAAAATACATTTCGCGTCCAAGGATGAACCTTATTGTTGTTCGGTTCGCTTTATTTTAATACAATTGTTGCTTGAATTACGCTACAGGGATGGGTCGCACAATAAAGTTACTGGCTCTTTAAGTAAGCAAACCCCTGCTCAGCGTAATTATTTAAATGACCCACGCACTCTTCTGAAAAAAAGCAGGAGGGTGGTGGAAAAAAAGATCACCTACAAGCGCAAAAAACTAGTGACATCATCATTCGTTTTTCTATAAAAATTTTCGATGACTTAAGTAATGCAGAAACTCAAGAATTCTCGTTGGAAGTGCCTGCCTATGATGTAATAATTGGTTTATGGGAGAATCTAGTGTAAGTAGTTCAGAACTATTTCCATCAAATTAATACTGTTATTCGTTGTGGCCGTACCTATAATGAACTTGATGTGTCCAGAGGGGGTGTATTAATAGCTTGCAAATCTCATCTTAATCTTAATGCAATAAATGCTTTCAAATATAACCAGTTCTTTTAAACAAATAGAAATTATTGGAGGCGCTATATTCGTATGGCAGGGCGAAGATGCTTAGAAATGATATAGCATTACGATCAGCTAACATGCCTGATGCGAAATGTAAGCATTACTCAACTTCTTAGACTTAATTAATTATCTGCAATTAAATACTGCTCTGGAGTCAACAATAGGGCTCTTGATCTTGTGCTCAGCAATATTATATTTGACATCTTAACAGTCTAATCCTGATTGTACAAATTTTTGAAGATATAAACTGATGGTATTAAAAAGCTCAAGAACAAATATACAGCTGGTTCGGACCACACCCCGTCATTTTTGCCTATGTAATAATTTTTTAAAGAAAAAATTATACATTACAACAATGCTAGTTTAATTTATTGTTTTGAATTAAAAATTCCCGGCATTTGCATCAAAAATATATCACAGAAAAAAATTAGTAAGAAGTGTAAGCCAGCTAATAGCCGATTATTCCCATTATCGTAAACGCAGGAGACTCGAAAGGCCAACGAACAACGAGAAGTCAATTCTTACATATTACACCATTATATTAGTAACACACCTGGTATACTTATTAATTAACACTGATACCCGTCAAGTTCTTTTTTCACATAATTAATTGTATGTTTGTTGAAAAAAGATTGGCTTGATTATAGTCTGAGTTGTAAGAACAATGGGAATTTAAACGTATTATTTATAAGAATTAATTATGTAAGTGTGCCTTGCTACTGGAAAGTAGACTAGGAGAAAATGTTACAAGTTGCGATAAGTAATAAATTATTTGATACGGATTGTATCATAATCTAAACATTTTTAAACGCATAGGAGATGGCGAGCGTTCTGCACAGTCTTTCTTTTTGCTCCACAAATGCAAGTACGGTATTATCGCAAAAAATGTTTAAAACGTTATAGTTTTTCAGCATCTGAAACAAACGCGAAAAACTGGCAAAATAAAGCCTAAATTAAATTCAATTCACATTCGAAATACTCGAATAGGTATATGAAGCGTCTCCATACAAGTTATCTTGTATTTTTGCGGAACTGTATCTCTTCTTTTTGGTTTCTTTCATAGACAATATACAAATCCATCTGATTTAGATCATTCCAAAGGAATTTTTGTAAAAATAAATCAAATATTAGATTGATAAATAATTATATCATAAATTCACAAACTACCAATTAAAACTAAAACTTGAAGTAATTACCGCACCAACTAGGAATACAATAGCAAAAGAGTCACGTAAGTCACTGCATAACTCTATTGTCAGACGATTGTTCTCGATAGGTAAACAGACATAAAAAAAACCATAAATTTTAGCGCCAAAGAAACACCTTTGTTAAAACGGGAGCGGGTTCCTATAAGCAGCTCCCAAACAAACCTAAACAAATACCTACTAAGTAATCTTTGCAGTAAAATTTAAAAATGGATTGGGCTAATCTCTATTAAGTTCTTGTTTTCTTAGACTCGGGGATGCTAGATGCTAGTGGGTTCTTTTATTATAGAAATTTTTTTCATTAAAGCATTTTTCTGTAAAACTACTACATTTAGTACTCCGTATCCTACCCCTCATTTTCGAGTTTACGTTAAAGAGTCTAAAATTCGTTGACAATTTTTTGCAGGTCATACTAATCGTTTCCAGAAATTTCAGAAAACTAAAAAAAATACTTCTATGTACAAAAACTAACCAAAAGATCGAGGTTTTCGTAATATGTTAAGCGTTAGCCACAGGACTAGGTCGTCGGTCAGATAGAACATGCATCAGGCGGGTCACAGGGTCACTATTTTTAGGCGTTTTCTAACTTAATTTGGAGTTCATTTGGTGCTATTTTTGCCGTCTCATACAAAATCTTTTATTGTTTTCGAGTTTTTCAGGTTTTTAGAAAAAGACTTTTGGAATTTATATTTTTAAAATAGAACATTCACAAGTGGTATAGCCTTTCATCGTCGTGTTAATTCAAAACTTCATTTTATAGCACAGCCCATAGAAATCATTATAAAACTTCTTGAAATACTGTAGATATTTAATACAAATTCAAAATAGCAAGATTAAGTTCTCCCGTCGTTTCCGTGGAAACAATATTGTATTTTGCTCTCAACTTCATGGGCCAGTAGAACAAAGCCAACAAATTAGACGAATCGGATGTAAATACTACAACAGGTTTTATTGTTATAATGGTTGCATTTATTGCCCAATATGACTATCCTGGGTTTTCCCACCCGGCGAAGTTCTGGTTAGGTGATGGGGGGGAAATAATTTACCTTTACTTGCGGTTATATCTTAATGTAAATAATACATTGGGCAACAAATGAAGCCATTAAAACAATAAAACCTTTTGTAGGATTTAAATTCAAATTAGGTACAAACTGCGGAGTACATTTTTCAATTCAAACGTGCTACTTGAAACCCAGATTTCTGATTTGAACGAAAAACAATGTCCTGATTGATACAATTTCTCAATAAGGACCGTATTTCCTCGAATTTTATTACGCACTTTTTTATAAAGGTAATGTAATAGTTGGGCGTGCATCCACCAAATAACTAACTTTCCTCGAAACTTGCGTAACTATCGGAAAATACGATTCCCGTTCAATATGGCTTAACTTTTTGAAACTGGACCTTCACTAATAGTTCCAACCAATTTTTCCACTGCAATTAATAAAACCAAACTCTTGGGATCTACGCGACCGCCTCTAATCCCAAACCGCGTACGCCTGGGACCTATCTAAGATTAATTACTGAGAAACTTTTTTTATTTGTTAATGGCTCCTTTTCAACCAATCCTGGGTTAGTTCTACGATTGTTAATTATGTCAAGACTTCTTGCTCATTCCAAAATGTACAAGTGAATTTACGTTATGTTGCTCTAAGCAATCTAAGGTTAAACCCTCATTAAAAGGCCTGTAGCTTGATACAAAAAGTAGACTTCTTGGCAGGTATTATTTACTATTTACATTATCATGAACAATATTTATTTGGGAAACCTTGCAGAACTTTGACATTTTTATATAATAACCTAGGTAGGTAAAACCGTTGCTTTTAACCTTCTAAGTATGTACCTATTATATAATCTTTGAGAAAGAATGCAGAAAATAAACGCAAATTTTGGAACCCTTCGGTGCGTAGCTCCCAAGCAAACCTTTTGTATAGGTGGATATGAAAAAAATGAAAATGTTTTTTAATACACTCCATTAATATACGACCAATCAGCTTGGTGATTGTTTTAAATTCTTACCAATCAGATGATTTTTTATCTGATTAAAAGCTATGTAGCTTCTTATTAGCGATTAAACGCTAGGTACCTTTTTATCAGCGATAAAAATGTGTGTAGGAATGCGTAAAATATAATAAAGTGGTTGTGAAATTTACTCTCTTTTATTAATCTCCCTAAAATACACTCGATCTGGGTTTTAAATCAGGATAATTTCGCGATTTTCTCACACTTTTGATCTCTAGTTGCAACAAAACTTTCGTGTAAAAATAAAATTATCCGATTAAAAATCAAGCTCTTGTGTATTTACCCCCGAAAAATTAGTCATGACATGGAAAATATCTCGGAAAATATCCACGACTTTTACCTATGAAATCTACTTTTTGCAGTGCCGTTCTTTTTCGCGGCTTTATTCTGCGAATTCAAATGTTTGAGGGGAAATTCGATCGTTAGACCTTAAGGAGGGGTTAATTTGTTATCACAGGTGAGTTTGTATCAAATTCGTTGGTAAAAGGTTTAATTTCATATTTGGCAACACCGTTGTAGTGGGGACCGTTAAAACGCGATGCGAATTTCCAATTCTCCCGCATGCAAACGACCTTCGCGTTTAGTATGTTAATGGCTGTTGTAGTGGCGTGATCAGTGGGTGAGTGTTTTATCACGAATTAATATATGGAAAATGCGTGGCTAGAG